TAATAGCATTCAGTTCTTTTTTCAGAGATGTAATATTTTCACTTATCTCCCTGAAGTTGTTACAGTTTAGGTTTTCTTTTGTTCCCTAAGTGTCTTCTGATCCCACCTCCAAATTTTTTCCTTAGTATTTTGTTGTTTTTGAGTGGGGGGTTGACCATTGTCTTGTTGGAAATTTTCCTTGAATGTCTGGTGATCCTTGGCTATTTGTTCATAATTAAAACAATTAAACACCTGAAGGAAGCTCTCTGCATGAATGAAGCTTATCAACTGCTAATCTTCACCACAAGATGATGGAGTAGCAAGCTGGCTTCTCTCTGGAGCCATTTCAAATAATTTTCCAAATCTCTGCCAGCAAAGTAGTACATGTGTGACTACCAGTGTTGCTTCTCACAGCTGGGAAGTACTACCCTTTAGCATGCAGAATTCAATTTAATTCCCTTTTTTTCAACTTGGGCCTAACAGCTCAGATGATTCTAGAGCCTCTTCATCTGTTCAGTTTTCCCAGAGAAAAAGTCTCCAATACTCTGCTAAGAAAAGGTAAAGTCACCTGGTGGTAAAAGACATTGGGACCTAACTGTTCCTTAGAATAGTCTTTTTCTTCTTTCCCACCCTACCTGGCACCTAGTATATCCAAGTTTTGGGCCTTCTGGAGTTCTGCTGGGAGACTCAACCAGTATAACCCCTCTTCAGGAACTTAGGTAGTGGTCCCCCTGCTCTGAGTCAGTGACCACTTCTCCACCAACTTAAAATCTTTCAAAAATTTTCTGATATCTCTCAGCATTGTTTCCTCTCCTACTCACTTTGCCCTTGTGGATTAACATCATTTTCTTTCCTTATTGTTGCTTTAGTGGGATATGGAAAGCACCAACAGAGATAAATTCATGTTCTCAATCTGCCATGTTTAAACAAATATCTCAAATAATCTTATTTAAATTACTTGTCTATTCTTTTCTCCTCCAGATTAGACATTCCTTTAAAACAGGAACTTTGTTTTTCTCATTTTTGCATCTCTAGCACATAACCCATAGAATATTTACTGAATATATGTCTCAATGATAAATTATAACAGTAATATACGGTAGATTTCAAGTATACCGTATATTGGAATTTCAAGTATACCGTATATGGAAAGATTTCAAGTAAGACAGTTCCAAAACTTAAAAGCTGCACCAAAATAAATTACTTAGTCCCTCTGAGCCTTAGAGTCAGATAATTGAATGGATATATAAAAATCCATTACATGCTGAAAATTAAATAAAATAATGTAATATTTTTCAAACTGAAATTTGTACTTATTAGATTATGACCAAATCAATTTAGTAGGTTGTGAGCAGCACTTTTTTTTTTTTTTTTTTTTTTGAGACAGAGTCTCACTCCCATTACCCTGGCTGGAGTGTGGTGGCTCAAACAGGGCTCACTGCAGCCTCAACTTCCCAGGCTCAGGTGATCCTCCCACCTAAGCCTCCCGAGTGGTTGGGACTACAGATGTGTGCCACTAAGCCCACCTAATTTTTTGCATTTTTAGTAGAGATGGGGTTTTGCCAATAGTGCCCAGGCTGTTCTCAAATCCTGGGCTCAAGAGATACACCCGCCTCGCCCTCCTAAAGTGCTGAGATTTCAAGCATGAGCTACCACATCCAGCCAAGCAAATTTTTTTTTTTTTAAAGATATACCTTAGGGATACCAAGAGTTCATCACATGCAATAAGCGTTGCTTTAACAAATTGTTTCAGTTGTTATAAATAAGTTTTGTATGTGTTTACTGGATTGTGATGTAAGATGTTATTTCATGAAATTACCATACATAAAAGTACTAGAAAACTGAAGTGCTAAATTATATGTTCTGACTATAAGGGCACCAGAATTTCAAAAAAGGTGACTGGTGTACTGGAGTAGTCTGAGGAAGTTTTAAGAAGGTATGGGACTTGGACTAGTTCTTGAAAGATAAGTAGCATTTAAGTAAATGAAAAGAGGGTATATCTGGAGATAGGCAGCATAAGCAAAGGGTGTGGCTTGCTGTCAGCCAGATGGCAGCCATGACTTAGTTGTGTTAAAAAAAAAAAAAAAAAAAAATCTGTTGACGGCCGGGTACGGTGGCTCACACCTGTAATCCCAGCACTTTGGGAGGCCAAGGTGGGTGGATCACGAGGTCTGCAGGTTGAGACCATCCTGGCTAACACGGTGAAACCCCGTCTCTACTAAAAAATACAAAAAATTAGCTGGGGGTGGTGGCGGGCACCTGTAGTCCCAGCTACTCGGGAAGCTGAGGCAGGAGAATGGCGTGAACCCGGGAGGCCGAGCTTGCAGTGAGCCGAGATCACGCCCCTGCACTCCAGCCTGGGCAACAGAGACTCTGTCTCAAAAAAAAAACAAAAAAAAACAAAACCTGTTGATATCCACCATAGGAATTCCAACTCATTTCCTACAGTGAATAATAAAACCTGGTTAAGAGAACTTCATATTGTCAAATTCAGCTATTTAAATTGAGAAACATAACAGAGGAACCCCAACAGCTGAGATCTATCAATGGAACTTTAAAGTATTACCTAGGCTGGGCACCGTGGCTCATGCTGGTAATCCCAATATTTTGGGAGGCTGAAGCAGAGGAATCACTTGAGGCCAGGAGTTTAAGACCAGCCTGGCAAACACGATGAAACCCTGTTTCTACTAAAAATATAAAAATTAGCCAGGTGTGGTAGCGCACACCTATAATCCCAGCTGGTCAGAAGGCTGAGGCACGAGAATTGCTTGAACCCAGGAGGCAGAGGTTACAGTGAGCTGAGACCGCACCACTGCACTCCATCCTGGGTGACACAGGAAGAATCTGTGTCAAAAAATAACATAAATAAAAATACAAACAGGAGCTAGACGTGATGGCACACACCTGTAATCCCACCTACTCGGGAGGCTGAGCAGAACCACTTGAACCTGGGAGGCAGAGGGTGCAGTGATCTGAGATCGCCCCACTGCACTCCAGACTAGAGGACAGAGTGAGACTCTGTCTCAAAAAATAAAAATAAAGTATTATGATAAATTGTAACAGTAATATATGGTAGAAATGAGACCCATCTAGTAGTAAGTAGTGAGACCCGTCTCTACCAAAAAAAAAAAAAAATTAATTAATTAGCCGGGTATGGTAGCATGCCTGTAGTCCTAGCTATTTGGGAGGATTGCTAGAGTCCACTAGTTCAAGGCTGCAGTGAGCTATGATTGCACCACTGCATTCCCATCTGGTTGACAGAGCAAAACCCTGTCTCCAAAAAAAAAAAAAGTGTTACAGTGTTGTCTAGTCAATATTTCTCCCTCCTCCATCAGCCTCTGCCCCACGGTCCAGAAGACCAGACCCACAGGAAAGTACACTGGCCAAACAGGCACATCATTAATGGCACTACCCAAACTCCTCACCCCTTCCCTCTGGACTGTAACACCTACCCCACCTCTCTACCTCCCAACTTGAGGAAAAAGGAACACATTTATTTCCCAAAGGTTTAGACAACTGTGCTTTTCCATACAGCACATATAATCAGACATTCAGCAGCCAGAGGAAGATTTGACTGCATTAATACCTTACTTCGAAAGATCTTACTGTCCACCTGTGATAGAAGCCTCCCCTTCTGTGAAACACTAGGATGATGTCCTTCTGCTTCATAAGGTATTGGTCCACTTTTCCATTTACATGGATATTTTTGGTTTTTGTTGAGACAAGGACTGACTCTACGGCCCAGGCTGGGGTGCAGTTGCGTGATCTCGGCTCACTGAAACCTCCATCTCCCAGGCTCAAGCAATCCTCCCACCTTAGCCTCCCGAGTAACTGGCGTGTGCTACCATGCCCAGCTAATTTTGGTATTTTTAATAGAAACGGGGTTTCACCATGTTGGCCAGGCTGGTATCGAACTCTTGACCTCAGGTGATCCACCCGCTTTGGCATCCCAAAGTGCTGGGATTACAGGCGTGAGCCACCGCTCCCGGCCTATTTACATGTTGGACTGAATTGCATACGCTCAGCCCACTGGTAAAATAATAAACATTTTAGGACTGTTTTCTCAGAAATAGCACTCTCCCTAAGAACTCTTTCACAAAGCATATCCATTTAGGATTGTTCAACTAACATTCACTGAGGGTCTTCAGGCATCAGGAACGATCAGGGTGAGGGGCACAGCAGCGAATAAGCCAGGTACCCAGTCTAGAGGAGCTGCCATGCTAAGGGGGCACACAGACGCATACAGAGCTTCGGTACTGCCTAGTAAGCGTAAGTAGAGTTAAGTATAAGACAGAGGTAAGCACAGTGCAAGGCTCTAGGGGAAAGTCAGGAGGATCCGAGGCGTCCTGGAGAAGATCCCATCTGAACGGATCCTTTCAGGATGCACAAAAGTTAACCAGGTGAAGACACACGGTACAAACAGAACAGAAGCAACAGAGGCATCAGACAACTGAGTCGGGGGAGAAACGAAAGGCAGTTTGGCATTCAGAGAGCATGCGGGCAATGAGGGGAAAACGGCCGTGGGAGCCTGCGGCGTCCGGGTCCCAAGCAGTCACTGGAGGGACAGAGGGAGGCCGGACTCTGCCACTTGGCCGAGACGCTGGGCATCAGCAGCGTTTCTCCTCGCCATCCGCATCTGGAGCTGTCTGTACGAGGGCTCCTGTGGGGGCTGTTCCTGGGAGGGTCGAGCAGACGGCATTCACGACCTGCCTCCCTCCGGGGCAAGCCAGCCCACACACCTCGGGACTCCGCTCAGAATCTAAAGAGGTGAGATCCTTGGGTTATCTCGGGGCTGCTTCATGAACTCTGAGCAGAAGAAAAGGGAAGGAGGAAGCAGAAGGCCGCAAGAACCAGCCCGAGACGCTATGACCCCAGAGATTCCGCATATTACAAGCCACCAAGTCGCCACGCTGATGCCCCACGCGCGGAGCAGCCGAAGCTAGGAGACCGGAGGGGCAGAGAAACCCGGCACCCACCGCCCCCGAGCCTCAGCCGGCCAGCGGGGCCGCTGCTCGGTTTACCTTGGTCATGCCAACCCCCACCACGAAGACCCGGCGCAGGGGCGCAGGCTCCCACAGTGAAGAGGACATGGCTGCACCAGTGCGGGACGGGGGCCGGCGCGGCGGACGACTGCCGGGACTGACAGGCGCAGACTGCACTGGAGCTCCCTGAGGCCCCGAAGTCAGGGCCGCGGACCGCAACACAGGCGGGTGAGAGTGCGCGTGCGTGGGGGCGGGGCGGGGCGGGGAGCGGGGGCGGGGCGGGGAGCGGGGGCGGGGCGCGTCCTGTGGGGTGGGGAGCGTTCTGTAACCCTTGGCGGCAGCAGCACTAATTTGCGGACTTGGGCGTGGAACTGAGTCAGCCCGTCCCCATCTCTGAGCCTGTGCTTAGGTTCTGCACGGTGAGCGGGAGTAGGCCTGCAGTGGGGCCTAAGACTGAGAGGAGGAATTGGCAGGAAAGCGGACTGGTGAAAGGTGATCTTGAGGAGAGCCGTTGGGGTTCGTGTTGGAATTGGCCTGTGTCCTGTTAGCGGTGGCAGTTGAGAGTGAATTCATGAATTAAAACTAACAAGACACCAAGAAAGCGGGGATGGGCAGGATCTCACACATGAATACAATGTCTAAATCAAAAAATACAGGCTCCGTAAGCAGCTGCCTGACCTTTTTTAATCTCGTGAACAAAAGTTCTCCGAAAAGGAATTTGGAAGACAGAGACTTTATTCCAGCAAACCCGGTAGAAACAGCCTTCCATGTTTGTTTGTTTGTTTGTTTGTTTGTTTGTTTGTGACGGAGTCTCGCTCTATCGCCCAGGCTGGAGTGCAATGCCGCGAACACGGCTCACTGCAGCCTCCACCTCCCGAGTTCAAGCAATCCTCCTGCCTCAACCTCCCGAGTATCTGGGATTACAGGCGCACGCCTTCATGCCTGGCTAATTTTTGTGTTTTTAGTAGAGATGGGGTTTTGCCATGTTGGCCAGGCTGGTCTGGAACTCCTGACCTCAGGTGATCTGCCCACCTCGGCCTCGAAAAGTGGTGGGATTACAGGTGTGAGCCGCAGCTCCTGGCCCTCTGTTTATTTTATCTTATGTAAAAATGCAGATTCATTGAGCTAGACGAATGCGTAAGTGACTATTTCTCTACCCCCCTCTCACATGTGAAGGCTGATCAAAGACTCAGAAGAACGCAACCGTTTGCCTCTTATCTACCCACATATTTTTAAAATTCATTCATCCTTCCCCAATATCTATAAAAACTGAAGCCCTCAAAATCATCTTTAGAGAAAGGCATGGACCTGTCTCCGGGTACGTCCTTAAAGTTGGCAAAATTAACTTCTAAATTAATTGAGATGTTTCATATACTTTTCGGTTTGCAGTATCAGCATGTAGAAAGGCTCTCCTAGAAGATTCTAAAGAGTGCTTCTTGGCTATTTGGCTAAGATCAAGTGTAGAAGATTCTAAGAAGCCGCTCTGTGCTTAGTAAAGAACTACTGAGCTAGGACTAGACCTACTTAGTAAAATCTGCTGGGCTTAGTGATGCATGCCTCTCCCATCTGCTCAGGTGGCTTCGGCGGAAGGATCACTTGAGCCTGGGAATTCAAGGCTACAAATGTGCTGTGATTACACCTCTGAATAGCCACTGCACTCCAGCCTGGGCAACATACCAAGACCATGTCTCTAAAAAACCAAACAAAACCAAAAAAAAAGAAAAACAAGCACAAGTCAGGGCACTGAGGTGTACAGTTGTTTCTTGAAACTGATGGGCTGATAAAGACAGCAGTATGATTCGTGGATCAAACAAAGTTACCAACTTAATAGAACAACAAGTCCTAAGGTCAAGATTGTTAGGTAACAAATGCTGGCGGTCCACTGGATATTGCTTTCAAAATAGGAGTCCATAGAGGGGCAGAGGGGATAGATAGTGATATAAAAGGTATTTGTTAATACCAAAAAGATTGAGAAAAAACACTTCCCTTTCCAATGTGGCGGACTAAATAATCCAAACATTTCCCACTATAAAACACAGACTCTTCTAAGTCATTGGATGTGGGGCTCTGGGGTAGCCTGAGCTGTTTGTCCCACACCAAGATGCTTCAAAACATTATTAAAAATGTTTGGATGCCTGTGAAGCCCTCTTATACCCAAGTTTGTCAGATTTGAGTGGGAATGGGGTTGATGAGCCTCATCATTTATAAAATCAGGAGTACTGATAAAATAAGTAAAATGTTGAAAGCTTCTGCACCTGCTTATGGTCATCATTAACCAGCTTCACTTAGAGTGCACATGAAATGAAACATTAGTTGGCTTGTGAATTTAAGCAAGCTATATTAGAAAGGAACCTGAAAAATCACTGTACACTTGTATAAGTACCACTTACTTTGTGGCATGAATAAGTGTACCAAAAAAAAAAAAAAAAAAAACCACCCAGAAATGCTAGATAAAATACATCAAATATCCTTTTAAGCTGGGTGTGGTGGTATGCGACAGTAGTCCCATCTACTTGGGAAGCTGAGGCAGAAAGGCTGCTTGAGTCCAGGAGTTCAAGGCTGCAGTGAGCTATGATCATGCCTGTGAATAACCACTGCACTCCAGCCTGGACAGCATAGTAAGACCTTTTCTGTAAAAACAAAAAGACAAAAAGCAGCCAGGCACAGTAGTTTATGCCTGTAATCCCAGCACTTTGGGAGGCCAAAATGGGAGGATTGATTGAGCCCAAGAGTTCAAGACCAACCTGGGCAACATCTCTATCTCTAAAAAAAAGAAGAAAAAGAAGAAAAATCTTTTTAAATGGGTGGAGGCCAGGCATGCTGGCTCACACCTGTAATCCCAGCACTTTGGGAGGCTGAGGTGGGAGGATCACTTGAGGCCAGGAGTTTGAGACCAGCCTGGGCAACATAGGGAGGCCTCTGTCTCTACAAAAAAATTTAAAAATGAGCCGAGTGTGGTGGCCTACACCTGTAGTCCCAGCTACTTGGAAGGCTGAGACAGGAGGATCCCCTGAGCCCAGGAGTCTGAGAGTGTAGTGAACTGATTGCGCCACTGTAGTCCAACCTGGGCAACAGAGTGAGACCCTGTCTCAATAAAATAGAATAAAATAAATGCATGGAATATGGAAGAGGGAGGGTTTTTCTTTTAATCATATACCCAACTATAGTTTGTATGTTTTGTTTTGTGTTTGTTTTTGTTTTTGTTTTTGTTTTTTTGAGACAGAATCTCACTCTGTTGCCGAGGTCAGAGTGCAGAGATCAGAGTGCAGCGGCTCACTACAACCTCTGCCTCCTGGGTTCAAGTGATTCTTGTGCCTCAGCCTTCTGAGTAGCTGGGATTACAGGCGCAGGCCACCATGCCTGGCTAATTTTTTGTATTTTTAGTGGAGATAGGATTTCACCATTTTGGCCAGGCTGGTCTTGAACTCCTGACCTCAGGTGACCCACCCACCTCAGCCTCCAATTACAGGCATGAGCCACCGGGCCTGGCTAGTTAGTATGTTTTGATTTTGTGTATATGTTAGTTTTTTATTTTTGCTAAGGCATGTTTTTAATTTTTGTCATTGTACTTTGTTTTCATTTTCATTATTTATTTTGAGTAAGTTATACTTAAAACAAAAATCAAGATTCAAAAAGTATAAAAGGGGCCAGGCATGGTGGTTCACACCTGTAATCCCAGCATTTTGGAAGGCCAAGGCAGGCAAATTGCTTGAGCTCAGGAGTTCGAGACCAACCTTGGCAACGTGGCAAAACCCCATCTCTACAAGAAATACAAAAATTAGCCAATGTTGTGGCATGTACCTGTAGTCCCAGCTACTCAGGAGGGTGAGGTGGGAGGATCACCTAAGCCCGGGAGGCAGAGGCTGCAGTGAGCCAAGATACTGCCACTGCGCTCCAATCTGAGCAACAGCAACATCCTGCATCCAAAAAAGTGTAACAGGTCAAACTGTAAAACTTATCTCTCCTACTGCTATTCCCGGCCTCTCAGTTCTTCCCTATCCTTCCAAAGATGTTTTATGTAAATATAATCAAATATACACATGCATACTAATGTTATCTCCCTTGTTAACACAAATTTTCATTTTCTTTATTATTTCTTTTAATAGCGGTGGGGTTTTGCTATATTAGCTAGATTGGTCTTGAACTCCTGGCCTCAAGCAGTCCTCCTGCGTCAGCCTCCCAAAGTGCTAGGTTCATGAGCATGAGCCACCAGACCCAGCCAAATTTTAGCTTTCTTTACACACTATTCTGCATCTTGACTTTTTTCATATACCAATAGATTTTGAAGGTTTCATATCAATGCATAAAGAGCTTCCTGTGTTTTGTTATAGCTGCATAGTATTCAGATTATTGATGTATTTTTTTTTATTTTTTAAAGTAGAGATAGGGGCTTGCTATGTTTCCCGGGCTGGTTTCAAACTCCTGGCTTCCAGTGACTGACCTGCCTTGGCCTTCCAAAGTGCTGGGATAATAGGGTGAGCCACTACACACAGCCCCATAATTTATGTAACCAACCCTCTACTGATGGATATTAAGACTGTGATATAGTTTGGATGTTTGACCCCTCCAAATCTCATGTTGAAATATGATTCCCAATGTTGGAGGTGGGCCCTGTTGGGAGGTGATTGGATCATGGGAACAGATCCTTTGTGAATGGTTTAACGCCATCCCCTTGGTGATAAACTGGGACCTCACCCCCCTCACTTTCTTGTTCCTATTCTCTCCATGTGACATGCTGGATCCCTGTCACCTTCAGCCATGATTGTAAGCTTCCTGAGGCCTCAGCAGAATCACCTGCTAGCACCGTGTTTCCTGTAAAGCTTGCAGAACTATGAGCCCATTAAACCTCTTTAAAAATTACCCAACCTCAGATATTTCATTATAGCAATGCAAAAATGGCCTAATACAGATGCTTCCAATCTTTTGTTATTATAAACAATGCTGCAATGTACAGCCGTGAACACATGCCATTTCACAGCTGTGTGGATTTATCCATAGGTTAAATTTCTAAAATTGGACTTTCCGGGGCAAGGAACTTGTGTATTTATAATTTTGATATAAATTACCAGTTGCTTTTCATTTAAAGACATTCACATCAGCAATGTGAGAGTGCTTTGTATATACTGTGTTTAAAACTAAGGAAAAAAACTTTTTTTAGACGGAGTTTCACTCATTGCCCAGCCTGGAGTACAGTGGCGCGATCTCGGCTCACTGAACCTG